CCCCAAAACCCCAAAACCCCAAAACCCCAAAACCCCAAAACCCCGGAATTATTAGCAAAAATTGTTAATCTAAAAATAATGGAATCAATAAGTGATAAGCCTCTAGTGTTGGTCACAGGCATCTCAGGATATCTAGGCTCCTGGTGAGCCAAGAAAGCTATCGATAGTGGAAAGTACAAGGTCAGAGGGTCAGTAAGAGACAAAGACAACAAGGAGCAGATGGAAATACTTGAAGAAGGCTTCGGAGGTGACTTTAAAGACATTGAAATCGTCTCAGCTGACCTGAGGGATGAAGAATCAATGGCTAATGCTGTCCATGGTTGTGATTATATCATTCATGTTGCTTCACCTTTACCTCTCACGACTCCTAAAAATTTTGAGAAGGAAGTGATTGAACCTGCTGTGAATGGTGTAAAATATGTTCTACAAGCCTCAGTACGCTCTACAGTTAAGAAGGTAATCATCACTTCATCTGCAAATACTGTCCAAGATCAGCTCAAGGGAGATGGAACATATGGCAAGGATAGTTTCATCAAAGAGCATAAAGGAATGAATGGATATTACAGAAGTAAGAACCGATCAGAGAAATTTGCATTTGATTTCATGAGGAGCCTTTCCAAAGAGGATCGTACGTTCGAAATGTGAGTGATCAATCCAGGCATCATAGTTGGTACCACATTCCTACGAAATGCCAAAGGAGCCGTTCTTGGACTCTTTACAGATGCACTTAATGGGAAGAAGATATCCTTGCCTCAGACATACTATCCTCATTCTGATGTCCAAGACTGAGGAGATGCCCATGTAAATGCTATTGAGCTTGGTGAAGATCTTTGTAGATATCCCCTAGCCAGCGGGAATATGAAATTCAGAGCTTATTTTGATTATATAAAAGAGGAGTTTGAGCCAAAGGGATACAAAATCAGGCATTCTGAGCTTTCTAAATGCACTATATGGATAGGAAGCTTGTTCAACAAGGATGCCAAAAATTTCTTATGGCAATGGAATGTCAAAGCATTCATGGATGGGGAATATGCAGCCAAAAAGCTAAACCTCACCTACAAAGATGCGAGAGAAAGCAGCATAGACCTAGCTAACTCACTAATCAACCTCGGGCTAGTAAATCAACCCAAAAAGAAATAATCCTACACTTCTGTTGCTTCAATACTTATCCAGAAAAATGGGGTTTTGGGGTTTTGGGGTTTTGGGGTTTTGGGGTTTTGGGGTTTTGGGG